AACCAAACCCACATCCTCTGCAAAAACAGCAGAGACATCTTCCCAGCCCCCGCCCCTTTTTTTAAAATTTTTTTTCCGAGACAGGGTTTCTCTGTGTAGTTTTGGTTTTGGTGCCTGTCCTGGATCTCGCTCTGTAGACCAGGCCAGCCTCAAACTCACAGAGATCCACCTGGCTCTGCCTCCCGAGTGCTGGGATTAAAGGCGTGCCCACCACCGCCCGGTGGATTTAACATTCTTAAAGCAAGTTAGTGGTGGGTGAGCTGAATGGATGTTAACAGTCACTGTCACAGGGTGACACCATCTTAGCTGATAAACAGCAGATATCCCATAACCACCATCTATGTGTGTTTCAGAGCTGCCCCGCCCCCTCCCCAGTGGGTAGAAAGACGATCGTGTTCTCTTCCTTTCTTTCCTCATTTCTTTGGCATCTTATGCCTCTTTTTTCTTTCTGAACTTATTTAAATATATAGCCCATATATCATCCTATTTTCCTCATGTGTCACCAAAGCTGATTCAGAAAATAAGCCCCCAGTCAAAACAGAAGTGGGAGAAAAAGCACTACAAAGATGACAGGATACCAACCATGATACCCTGTGTCCTCTCTACAGGAGTCAGCCAGCACAGCCACTGTTTGACTCCCTCCAGCAAGGCCACTACAACAATAGGACTCGCCATCCACCACGATGCTGCCCTCACAGTACTCTCCCCAACCTCTGAACAGCCCACATCCTTTCCATGGGACAAGCTTCTCCAAACCAAGGGCCCTTGTTCCCTCGGCCTGGGTTGGATCCCTGCCACTTACTACTATGACCCTGGCCTCCCAGATGCTCCCACTGCCCTCAGAACAGGAGACATGTGCCTCACACTGCTCAGGCTTAGAGACCTTGCAAGAGGTTCTTGTTAGGTAGCAAAGACTCAGCTCAAAGTGGTGTTCTGGAGTCAGTCACTTAGGGTCTACAATGTGTACCCACAGAGGCCAGTACATGGCCATCCTCAGCTGTGACATAAGCTGGCTGTATGCTCATGCCAGGTGGAGCCTTGGGATCTGTACCATTCCTGGCACCACTACCCACTCTAGCCCACCACACACACACACAGTGTTCAGTGCCTTCCATGACTGACATCACGTCATCTCAGTCTAGGTACGCCACAGGACAAGGTCCAGGCACAGATGCTTCCTTTCTTATTAAAATATTTAATAAAAGCAGCTTTCTCTGAAACAAGTTATAAAAGTAAGGTTGCAAACTCAGAATTCCTGTCCACAAGACAGGAGAGGGTGAAGCAGGTTATCACAGAGGGGGACCATGACAAAGTAAAGCAGTGCCCAGCACAAAGGGGTGGCTTTACTGCTGACAGTGGAGTTCCATCTCAGGGTAGACACATCATCTCAGTTTTCCGGAGAAGATATGTCTTTGAATTTGAATATGATTTGAATAAAAATCATGCATTCTTAATGTTGGTTACTAATTAATCCTTCTCTCTCCCAAAAACCATAGTATAAGGTAGAATAAATTTTCAGACAGAGAGTTGATTTTACACATTCCAAAATAAAAATAAATGGATCCATATGGTAGCAAATGCATCTGTAAAAAGTGATGGCTAGTCTTCGGTACCCTGGCAGCTTACGGGGAAGTCAGGGCCAGGGCCTTACCATCAGGCCAGCCCACACATCCAGAAAAGGACAGAGGCGATATGCAGGATGAGAAAGTCACAGGGCCTCCCAGCACTGGCCAGCCAGGCTATAGCCCAGGGCAGCTATGAGGATGACGCCAGGGGCGTCACAAGCACACCCAGCACATCTCCCAGGGTCCGAGAAGGGCTCTGGCTCATCCTAGTACCCCAAGAGCCGCTTGGCTTCTTCACTCTGTGCCTGCAGGGTCTCACTTGCATATTTCTGGAGCAGTTCCATTTTCTTCCTCCGTACAAGCGCCTCCTCGATCTGTGAACACCCACAATGAAGAAGTCAGCCCTCAGCAAGGCCAGCCTCCACCTCTACCACAACCTAAGCAGGGAATACCTGCAGGGACACGGTCAAGAAGTCTGACTTTCACTAGACTTATTCTAAGACTGCAAGAACCGAGCCATTTCCCTCTGGGAACATTCAGTCAAAGCTCATGCTATCAGTTCCGTCAAGAGGGGCCTGCCCTTCATGGATCCCACACCTTTGTGTACACAATGAGCTAGCTCTACATGGTCAGGCTCAAAGGCTGCATAGTGGAATGGAAGGACAAGGACCACCCAGAAAGGTGAGCCTCGCTGGAGGAACGGCTCTACTGGGCATAGCATCCATCCTACCTCCTGCTGCGAAGGCACCGGCACGTGGGCAATGAACTTCTGCTGACCGTCTTCCCCTGCCTTCTCTTGGCTGCCTTCCTCATCAGACTGCAGAAGACAACATACAACCCATGAGCAGGTCACCAGTGACGGAAGCACTCACACTCTGTAGACAGTGTCACTCAGTTGGGCCTGGTGGCACAAACCTGCAACCCTACACTTGGCAAGCTGAGGCAAGAGGCCTGCTCCAAGTTTCAGTCAGCCGGGGCTGCAGAGTGACCCTGTCTCCAAAATTAACAGTAAAAAAACAAAGCGCTGAGTCTGGAGAGTAATTTTTAAGGCCTGCTCGAACAACTTAGTGAAACCCTGTATCAAAAAAAAGAGACCTGGGGACAGAGCTCAGTGGTAGAGGGCTTACTTCCCCAGTACCATGAAAACAAGCAAACAAAGCTTAAATTATTTAAAAGGAAAAAGAAATCCTTTCCATTGTTTTTACAATAAAGGAAAGGCCTATTGGGGGGAACTCCTGCTCAGCCTCATCACAGCAGCACTACACTTGTCTACGCTCCATCACTGGCCTGCCATCTGTCCCCACTCAGAACAGCATGCATCTCCCAGCACATGCTGCTTGCTCTGCTCCTGCACGTGGCTGAGCGTGGCTCACAGAAGCCACTAACTAAACACCCGAAGAATCAAGTGAGTATTCGTTTGTCACCCAGAGAAAGCCCAGGGCATGCAGCCACCGTGCTTTATACGCTTTACTGAGCTCTCCTGCAGGTCAGCTGGACCTAGGCGGGAACTTCCGCATCCTGTAACACATTCACTAAGTCATCAAACCTGTCTCCAAACCTGCTTCTTTGCCAGTGATGTACAAGCAAGTTCTTTCAACGACATGGAGGATCTGCCTCATCTCAGAACAGCAAATCAGATGTGTTCTAACTGGTCCAGGCAGCAAGGCCATGCTGGACACAATAGAAGAGTCTGGAGTCCAAAGGTTCTGCATGAGAAGTGTGGACCACAGACCCATCCCTGGTTACAAGACTCTAGAGAAGCCCGGGGGCCTGTCTCCATCTATGAAGTGGGTGTGGAAGACTACAGAAGACTACTACAGACTACTCACTTCTGTGAGCCACAGAAGTGCTGAGGCCAGGGACTAAAGCTTATGTGACCTCAACTGGGTTTACAACTGTCCCACATCATCCGAGAGAACTGATCCGTTAGACGGAAGCTAACAAGAGCTCCCTCAGCCCTTCCTGCCTGGAACCCTCCCCGTGCTCCTGCGCAGGGTCATCACAGCCATCCTACAGGTGAAGAAGCTGGGCTCTGAGCCATGACCCAGCCTCCTCCCTGGGGTACTCTGGAGCTCAGAGAAGAGGACAATGAGCACCAGACAGGACCCACGCCAGTACCTCCTCTTCGGTGACAGCATAGATGTTGATCTCCTCTTCCTCTTCCTCCTCCTCTTCCTTTTCTCCCCTTGCCAGGCGAGCCTCTCTCTCTGCTTTCCATTTCCCCACCAGCTCAGCTCTGACTGAAGACCAAGGAGAATAAAGGGTATTGAAAAACATTTTACTGGGCTAGAATGGCCAAGATGTCCCCTTCGGAAAAGGACACCCTGATTCTGCCCAGTCTGTCCTACAATGCCTCTAGCCTTATGTAGGTGCAAGGCAATTTTTGTAATAATGTCTCCAAATCCTCTCCAATGGCTGGCTGACACACATATGCTGGGTCCCACCCTCACCATGCACTTCCAAATTCCTATGGGAACTGATATGGACACGTCTCAGGCTTGCATGGTATGCTCTGCAGGGAGGAAGCACTCACTCGTACAGACACTACCTCCCTCTCCATCAGTAAGCTGTCAGCTGTGCAAGAAGATCTGAAAGCTACTAATATGGGTACTACTAAACAAGTTCAAGAAAAGCTAGCTTAGAAGGATCTAGACTGTGACCTCCCAGAAACAGGATCAAGACCAAGGAAAGATCTGTGGCTTCACCAGCTGTTCTGAGCCTAGTATGACCTGCCTGCCTCACCTGCCACCTAGATGTCAGATACTATCAGCCCGCTGAAGACCCTTAGCAACAACAAAAGACAGCTTTTGGTATCATGCACTGTTTTCAAGAGGGAGAACAGAAGCCAGGTGGCAGCTATAGTGACATGCCCGCGGACATACGTTTCTTTTCATAGTCTTGTTCCAAAGGCACGATAACTCCGTCATCTTCATCCAGGTAACCATAGTATTCAAAGTCGATCGCCTTCATGAGCTCAGCACGTGTTTTTCTGGGAGGAGGGAGAGCTACAAGAAATGGCAGTGACTTAACTGGATTCTCATCAAGATCATCCTTGATCCACAACTTTTCTCCACACAGTGAGTGCTAGAGTCACACATGACACACGGCCATGGAAATATCACAAAGTCAGCATTTCTCTATATCAGATATGAAATCAAGAGAGTGGAACCACCTTTCTTAAAGTTCAAGTTTTGATCCAATGAGCAGAATCTAATTAAAAAATCTACTCTTGGCTAAGGGTATAGGCCAGTGATTAGAACCCTTGCCACAAGGCCCTGGGTTCAATCCTCAGCATTACAAAAATAGATAAATAACAAGTAAATAAATGGAACCCACATGGTTTAAATAAACAGAGCTGGAGATTTAGATCAATGATGAACTATGCTAAGCAAGCCCAAGGTCCCCAGTTCAGTCTCTGAAGTACCTTCTAGCAACACCCTCAAACCCACAAGTCCATAATAAGGTTTTATAGACAGAGAAATACATCACAGAACTACTCATTCAATAGTGAAAACACTAGGGATAACCCAATACTATAAATGTCAGCGTGGGGTATCCAGAAACCCTGTTTTAATGCTCTTTTACAAAGTTTTAACAGCACAGGAAATGGTATGATGTTGACTGACACAAAACAAATAAGCAGAAAAAGAAACCCTAAGAAGGGCAAAGGACAGCATTCTGAAGAAAGCGTTCAGACGAAGGACAACTCTCTAGAGCACAACTGTATTTATCAAAGGGAAATCAAATGAAAATTGTAACCTAACATTGGTCAAATAATGAAAGCTGACCACTAAGGAAGGAGAAATGTGGGGGCTGAAGAGATGGCTCAGTGGTTAAGGTATTGCTCTTCCAGAGGACCTAGGTTTGGTTCCTAGCATCCACATGATGGCCCACAACCATTTACAACCTCACATCCAGGGGGATCGAACATGCTCTTCTGAACTCTGAGGGACACTGCATGTGCACAGACACATGCAGGCAAAAACACCCATACACATAAAATAGAATCTCAAAAAAAATTTTAAGAAAAAATGCAAATGTGTGAACATTTTCATTGGTAATTAAATTATCAACTTCATTAGTCACAGAAATAAACAGGAAATAGTGGGAGAGTACATAACAAGTTCCAGGCTGGCTTCTGCTACACACTAAGACCCTGTCTCAAAACAAAACAGGGAGATGACTCAGCAGCTCAAAGTGCTTGCTAGTGCATCAGGATGGGAAACAGAAAGAGGAGAACTAGGAAGCCTGAGGACTAGCTAGCCTAGAGTACACAGTAATGAGGATGGCAGGAGAGAACCAACTCCAACATGTACTCGAGCACACATGTGCTTCACCTACATACACAGAAACACACACATCATTTTTTAAAATCACAAAACCAGCACTTGAGAGGCAAAGGCAGGTGGATCTCTGAGTTCAAGGTAAGTCTGGTTTACAGAGTGAGTTCCATGACATCTAGGGTTACACAGAAAAACCCTTACTCTAAATAAATAAATAAATGAATGAATGAATGAATGAATGAATGAATGAATAAATAAATAAATAAATAAATACTATGAAAACTGGAAAGAAACAGTTGGTAATGGCCACTTCATCTGGCACTTGAGTTCCTGTCCTGTGAAGGGGTGGGCATCACACCGGCTGAAGGGGAAAAAAGCACCGCCTTCCTGCTGACCACAGGGACTAGTTTTCAAGTGCAATCATGTGAAGAAAGTACAGTCAACTGGGACTGATTAATCTTTCACCTAATATGGATAAAATAAGCCTTGACAACGGCCTAGAAGGAAACCTGAAGATACTGGTTCCCAGTCATCTCTGCTGGGGGCCTGCGTTGGGTCAGCAAGGGGACTTCAAACTCTCTCTTTAATTATACTGGGTAAGAGTGACTTATGCACACCACTCATGAGGCAGGCTACCATTTGAGCTTTGAGCTCACAAGTTGAAGACATGCCTGGGTAACACTGAAAGGCTCTATGTCAACAACAAAACCTACAACTGAAACAAAAATCTGTGCTGAGGGCTGAAGAAGTAAATCATTGGTAGAGTGCTTGCCTAGCTTGTATAAGTCTAGGGTTCAATTCTTAACACAGCAGAAAAATTAACTACATTTAGAAAAAGGTACATGGGGCAGTGAGGTGGCCCAGTGGGTGAAGGGACTTACCACGAGGCCTGACGACACACGTGGTGGAGGCAGAGAACTGTGGTTGTCCTCTGATAACCACACAAATGTTACGACACACATGGACCCCTCACACACACAGGTACATCAGTAAATAAACCTTACTTACAATAAAGAAGGACGAAAAGTAAATGCAAATAACAACAACAAAACCCATCGTGATGACACAGGTCTGTAATCCCAGAACTCTGAAGGCTGAGGCTAAAGTTAGATGGCCAGTTTGAGGCCAGGCAGAACAAAGTCGTTAAAACAAAACAGCTTAGGCGTCCACAATCCTAACAGGTGGAGGCAGGAAGATCTGGAGTTCAAAGCCTGGGCTACATGAGACCATGTTCCAAAAATATAACATAAAATTAAGAATAAAATCTTAAAAGCTATTTTTAAAATCTGGATACAGTAATTCCTACACTGCATAGCACACGGCACACTTCTCTTACTCACTAGCAATAATTAAAGGCCGATGCTTTCTCAAACATGAGCTACTTACGTTCTTTCTCAAACAGTTCTCTGACACCAGGCAAATCTTTGGCTGCCCCGAAGTACTTGTAACCACGGTTTCCAGGAACTTCTTTACCTTCATGATCCAGCATCTTAGGGCCAACTTTCTTATTGGGAAAGAAAAAGGAAAATGGGTCTGATACATAAACCTACTTTCCTATGTTTACAAATACATTTTGAGATAATAATGTCATACATTGAAAACACTCCATACAGAAAAAAATTTGTGGATTTTTTTAAACCCCTTAAAAATTAACCTAGGGCTGGAGACATGGATCAGGAGTAGAGTGCTTGTCTATCATGTCATGCAAATAGCCTTGGTTCAATCCCCAGCACCACAAAAAAATAGGTTTAAAAAAAAAAAGGCCTGTTATGGTAGCATACACCTCTAATTTCAGCACTGAGAGGGCTAAGGAAGGAGGCCTGATACCTGAGTTCAATTCCCCAGGACCCAGAGGGTAGAAGTGAAAAAGTGACTTCTACAAGTTGTCCTCTGACCACCAAATGTGCATTGTGGCACATACACACACACACACACACACACACACATACACACACACACACACACACACACACACACACACACACACACACACACTGCTGGGTGTAGTGTTGCATGCCTATAATCCCAGCACCTAAGAGCCTGAGACAGGAAGATTGCCACAAATCCAAGGCTAGGTTAGACTATATAAGGCCTGGGCTACAGAGTGAGACTTAGTCTCAAAAAACAAAACAAAAACAGAAAAACAGTCAAAAAAGGAAAAGACATACCAAGGGGCCTAGCTCAATCAGTAGAAGCCTAGCCAAGCCTGTCAATCCCCAGCACCACATAAAACCAGGTGGGCAGCGGTGGCACATGCCTTTAATCCCAGCACTAAGGAGGCAGAGCCAGGCAGATCTCTGTGAGTTCGAGGTCAGCCTGGTCTACAGAGCGAGATCCAGGACAGGCACCAAAACTACACAGAGAAACCCTGCCTGAGAAGAAAGAAAAAAAAAAAAAAAAAAGAACAGGTATAGTGGAACATGCCAGAAACCCCAGCACTCATAAACTCCAGGCAGGAAGGAGCAGTTCAAGGCTAATCTTGGTTACTTTGAGGCCAACCTGAACTACATGATACCCTGTCTCAAAAGAAAAACAGGGGTTGGGGATTTAGCTCAGTGGTAGAGCGCTTGCCTAGCAAGCACAAGGCCCTGGGTTCAGTCCTCAGCTCTGGAAAATAAAAAAATTAAAAAAAAAAAGAAAGATAAGAAAAACAAACAAAAATAATAATAAATATCAAAATAAGACAGAATGGAAAATGCCAAAGTACATCACAGAATTTTCTCAGTGTGCTTTTGTGTGCACCAGACTGCAGTAAAAAGTGTGTATGCTGGGGCTAAAGAAATGGCTCAGACCTTAGAAACACGTACTGCTCTTGCAGAAGATCTGAGTTTGATCCCCAGAACCCACATCAGCAGCTCAAAACTGCCTGTAACTCCACTCCAGGGAGCTCAGACTCCTCCTCTGACCTCCATGGGCACCAACACTCATGTCTTCTCTCTCTCTCTCTCTCTCTCTCTCTCTCTCTCTCTCTCTCACACACACACACACACACACACACACTACACATCACACACACACATAATCTGAATTTAAAATGTGTGCCAGGATTGGTGGTGCAAGACTTTGATCCCAGCAAAGGCAGATGGATATCTGTGAGTTCAAGGCCAGCCTTATCTACACAGTAAGTTCCAGTATAACCAGAGCTACATAATAGAGAGACCTTGTCTCAAAAAAATAAAGTCTGGATGCACATGTCTTACTATAATCATGATACTAAGGGGGAAAAACCCACAACAGACAGGAATGTCTCTGGGGAGCTCAAAAAAGAAGGTGAGGTGGCCATGGGCATTGTAAACAGGTACCTTGCCTAGGCCAAGGCCTGAGCCATGCAGTAGTTCAGGATTATGCCACCATCCTTTTCACAGGTATTCTGCCCACATGTAACAGCTGCTTCTCAACCCTCCGTCACTGTCAGCTGACTCCTCTTGGATAGTCATGGTCTGAACCCACAGGCAATGCACGGCTAGACACACCCTGCAACGCCCTCAGCAGTCTGTCTCAGGCACCACTGGAGCTATACTACTTACTCCATAGTCAGGGCCGCCCAGCTCCTTGATGCGGACCTCCCAGTGTCCTTTCTCCCTTAGCAGCTTGTTAATTTCATCATTCAGGTCTCGAATTCGGAATTCCCCTAAACCAGCTAGAAAACAACACTGTTAGTATCATTTCTTCAAGATGCCGTGCCCTAAAACAACGAATGTCAGTATTTCCAATACATGTACTCAGTGTCATAGCTTTACAATGGATAGCAACACTGCAATGGTCTACTCCATACAACTGATCATTTAAATTGATAAGAAAAGACCTGGTAGTGCACACCTTTGATCCCAACATTCCGGAGGCAGAGGCAGCCGGATCTCAGTGAATTCGAGGCCAGCCTGTAACTCCAACTGTAGGGGATCTGATGTGCTCTTCTGGTCTCGCTGGGCACCCACATCCACATGCACATACACACACATGCATACACATAATTGAAAATAAAACAAATCTTTAAAAAAAAAGATCAGCTGGACTGGTCATGCACACTTTTAATCCCAGCACTTGGGAGGCAGAGGCAGGTGGATCTCTGGGAGTTAGAGGCCAGCCTAGTCTACAAAGAGAGTTTCAGGACATCCAGGGCTGTTACACAGAGAAACCCTGTCTAGAAAAACCGAAAGGAAAAAAAAGGGTGTATCAGTAGGGCATAACCATCATACTATTCTGGAGGCTGAGGAAAGAGGAACAAAAAGTTCAAGGGTTGCCTGGACTGGAGTTCAAAGGTCAGCCTAAACAACTTAACAAGACCTTGTCTCAAAAAAACTATAACTAATAATAATACCAAGCGCAGCAAATATGCAAACACATTTTACAAACTTCCATTCTTATACTCTAGCCTCTTAAGCAAGAAAAAGACCCACGACTCCCATTTTCAGAAACCTATAGTCAGAAAGAACCTCAAAGCAGCCAGTCTTCCCAAAGCAAAGCTGATGCTGGTTTAGTGTCTCTTCTAGTGTGTTTTAGTATCTTCTAGTGTGTTTTAGGATCTTCTAGTGTGTTTTAGGATCTTCTAATGTGTTTTAGTATCTTCTAGTGTGTTTTAGGATCTTCTAATGTGTTTTAGGATCTTCTAATGCTGTTTTAGTATCTTCTAATGTGTTTTAGTATCTTCTAATGTGTTTTAGTATCTTCTAATGCTGTTTTAGTATCTTCTAATGTGTTTTAGGATCTTCTAATGTGTTTTAGGATCTTCTAATGTGTTTTAGGATCTTCTTGCTGAAATTTTGAAAATCTAAGTAGAAGCTGGATATGGTTGAGTGGGTAGGGAAGTGGGGAGGATCTGGAAGGACTTGGGGGAGGGGAAGAATATGATCAAAATATTTTTAAATTTAAGAAATGTTTTAAATAAAAAATATAATAAAAGTTAAGCAGACGTCAGGCAGTGGTGGCGCACACCTTTAATCCCAACACTCAGGAGGCAGAGGCAGGTGGATCTCTGAGTTGGAGGCCAGCCTGGTCTACAGAGCAAGTTCCAGGACAGCCAAGACTACACAGAGAAGCCCCGTCTCGAAAAGGAAAATAAAAAAGTTAAGTGGAATGTTATTAGGTGCTTTACTCTATAAATGTCATCTAGGTCAGTCAGTTTTGTTTTGGCCTCCTGTGTGCTGTGTAGCTGTGAGGATACCTTCAGCTCCAGCCTTACATTGGGATTACAGACCTGCACTATGCTTGGGCCAATGTTCACATCTTCAATGGCCTTGCTAATTCCCTATGTACTTGTCTTACTGGTCATTAGGGAAGGAGGGCTGAGGTCCCCACATCTAATTGTGTATTCTAGAACACTTTACAGGGTTAGTCAGCTTACCATTCTGAATCTGAGCAACTTTTTTTGAGATCTCTCCAATGATCTGTAGGGAAATAAATAGTAACAGGTACATTTTCATGATTTTTTAACATATCTGAAAGCACAGGAAAACTGTAATTCACAACTGACAAAAATACTATTGGCGGGGCTGGAGAGATGGCTTAGTGGTTAAGAGCACTGACTGCTCTTCCAGAGGACCCTGGTTCAATTCCCAGCGCCCACATGGCAGCTCACAGCTGTCAGTAACTCCAGTTCCTGAGACCCAACACCCATGGCAAAACACCAATGTATGTGAAATAAAAATCAATCAATCAAAAAAAAAAAAATACTATAGGTGTGGTAGAGCACACCTTTAATCCCACAACTGGGGAGACAGAAGCAGGCGGATCTCTGTATTTTCAAGGCCAGTTTGGCGTACACAGGCCAGTCAGGACTACAAAGCAAGACCATATCTCAAAAACAGAAACAGCGCTGGGCAGTGGTAATGCACAGCTTAATCCCAACACTCGGGAGGCGGAGGCAGAGGCAGAGATCTCTGTGAGTTAGAGAACAGCCTGGTATATATAGGGACAGCCAGGAACACAAGGGGAGACCCAGTCTCAAAAAAAATTAAAAATTCTGGTTAATAATCACTGAGATAAAGAGGAGCCAACAAAAGCATGTTACTTCTACTGAGATCAGGTTTCCCCAGAACATACCTGTCGTCTCCATTTCTCAGCTTTGGGCAACTCAGTACATTCAGAAGCAAGAAAGGGTCTTCGTTCCTAAGGAGAAGGAGAGTAACACATGTCGCCACTAGGCTTTGTACATACTTCAGTAACATCCACCACCGATTCAGGCTTGAAACCTGAACTAGTTAGTGCTCTAAATATACTTGAAGTCACAGTGCTAGAGGATACTCAACTCCTAACCCTTTCCCTACAATCTCTTAAGAAACACAATTACTCAAGGAACTGTGTCTAGTTCAAATAAATTCATCCAAGTATATAATCTCTCCAGGCCCACACTCTACCTTCTTATGGTCAATATTAGAGCTAGAATAATAGGAGAACCCAGACATCACTTTAGATTTAAAAAAAAAATGTGGGGCTAGAGAGATGGCTCAGCAGTTAAGGGTAATGACTATTCTTCCAGGGTACCTGGGCTCAATTCCCAGCACCCACATGGCAGCTCACAACTGTCTGTAACTCCAAGATCTGACACCCTCACACAGACACACATGCAGGCAAAACACCAATGCACATAAAATAAAAATAAATAAGTTTAAAAAAAAATAGAAAAAGCAGAAGCCAGATAATCACACTGCCCCAACAGAAGAGAGGAACACCAGAAGTTCAAACTCTTCAACAAGTACAGCAGGAACAGATGGAGTCTGAAGTCTGCCCAAGAAGTTTCAGTGTATTTCTGCCTGACACGTCCCAGAGGATGAGATTTCACTCACCTTGACTTTTCCCTCTTCCAGCTGAGCCTGACGAAATCTTGCCAGGGCAGTCCTACCAGGGAAACAAAAAAAAAACCCATTAGATTTCTTATCATTCAAGTTCCTGGATGGGGCAGGTCTGTTCATGACCACATCTAAAGTCATTAGTGTGAACAGTAATAAAGAAACCAGAGTAGTTAAGGATTTTCATGTTCCAAGGGATAGGCCTCCAACACCATTTGTGTTTCTGAACACTCAGGTATCTACTTTAACTATATTGCATATATAAACTGTTGGGAAACTACTGTGATAAGCAATATACAGAAATGTTCAAAGATTAACATCATGGATGCCCTTGCAGTCATTCCCAGCCTATCCACAGGTGGGAAAATGTTCACCCAGGATAAGTTCTGGAAGAACAAGAAAACATTAAGGGGAAAACCAAACACAAGCAAACGCAGAAATGCTATTTTAGCACATTGAAAGAAGAAACCGCTTCCAGAAAGACTCCTACCAAAGGGATCACATACAAGTTCTGTGCTTCTAATTAAATCTCAGAATTTTCAGCCCCAAGGAAGTTGATACTCACATAGCCTTTTCTGCATTTCGGGCCTAGATGGAGACAAAGGAAGAAAACACTAAGTTTAGAATATTTGTTTTTCTTCTTGTGGTTGACTTGAAATGATTTTAAATGGTTAAAAAAATTATTTATTTTTTCAAATTCGTCTGTGTGTATGTCTGCTTGTCTGTATGTGCGCCATGTGTGTATGGTGGCCACAGGATAGAAGTGAACATCAGTTCCGTGGAACTAGAGACTAGAGTATAGGCAATTGTAAGCCACCTGATATGGATGCTGGGAACCAAACCTGGGTCCTCTGCACCAACAGTAAGCGCTTTTAACCACTAAGCCAACTCCTCAGCCCCTAGAATACCTTTTATCACTTCTATTGTTTTCTATTTGTGTTACTTTTTACATTATTTGCTTTTTATAATCATGCACATATGTAGAATGTATTGTGATCATATCCATTAACCTCTCTGATCCCTCTCCCACTCCTCCTAGGATCTCACATGCACCACCATGCACAGCCCCGACCCAAAAACAGCAGGGCTGGATGTTCCCTGCCAGTGGAACTCAGAAGCACCAAGACTGGCTTTTGCAAAGCAATTTTTATACAAGTGCTGTCACATCAGTGTTAAGTCAATGATCCCTAAACCAAAGGGTCAGGAAGACAACACATCTTTTCCAGTTGGACTGTAAACTACTTGCTAAATTTGGGACTTGGATTTTGCTCCCAGCTCTTCCTCTCAGTATCACTGAGACATGGTCTCACAAAAACCTAAGTTTCCCTTTACACTGAATATCGTAGCTCTTATCTTATAATGTTGTGATGACTTATTCAGATAAATGCATGAAGATAATCAGATAGTTTACAGAGTCAGCACCATGAGCTTATTTAACCTGCCCTTCAAGTTCTCCCTTCCAATCACCTCTGAAAGAAATTCAGCAGGTGGATGGTGGATAAATGAACATGACAGCAGTGTAGGACACACCCTCCTTCAGAAACAGCTGCTTTCCAGGCCACTGTTTCGCTTGTTAGGATTCTGTACTAACAGTATATAGTGGTTTTCAAAACATCCTCTGTAACCATTCCACGGCATCATACGCTTCTTAAATTTTTGTGTATGTTTTTATTTAATAGAATTATGTACCTGTTTGTACCTATATATGTATACAATATCATCCCCCAAAAAAAGTGTAATAGTGGCTTTTTTTTTTCTATTTGGTATTGTAAAGCACCCCAGACTGGCAAGAAGGCCTATATATTTGAATAAATGCCCATACTTTGTATATAGATTTACATGGTTATGTATATACTTACACCTGTTTCATAATCATACTTGGGTATGTGTATATGTGTAAATATCTACCCATGTGGATAAGACTACACAGATCTCAGCACTAGACCTCAGAGATATCAACAAAACTCAGAAGCATGAAAGCAACTCTGTATGCTTTTAGGGGGACTTTTACTATATATAGATACAGATAAATATAAAGATTTTTTGTATGTATATAAATGTTTTGCCTATATATATGTATGTGCACCACGTGAGTGCCTTGTGCCCACTAACTTCAGAAGTGGGTATTAGATCCCCTAAAACTGGAGTTACAGATGATTGTGAGCCACCATGTGGGTGCTGGGAACTGACGAGAAGTGGTTCTTAACCACTGGGCCATTTCTCCAGCCTCCATGGGGCCATCACTTTGAAAATACTACAGTAACCACGCCTCTTTTTACCAACACTATGTGTGATTTCATATTTACATATTAAACACTTCTTTTTTTTTTTTTTTTTTTGTTTTTCGAGACAGGGTTTCTCTGTGTAGCTTTGCGCCTGTCCTGGAACTCACTTGGTAGTCCAGGCTGGCCTCGAACTCACAGAGATCCGCCTGGCTCTGCCTCCCGAGTGCTGGGATTAAAGGTGTGCGCCACCACCGCCCGGCTATTAAACACTTCTTGAGCGAATGAAACCGAGAATCACAACCTCTCAACACTTCAGCCCATGCTAGTCATTCATTCACGGTGATGGCACACCTGTCTAAAGAATGCCAGACTCTGTCTCGGGCATTAAGTAAGCAACAGTATGAAGACCCTTCCCTTGAGAAGTTCCTATCTGTGAAGACTGAGAACATCTGGGCGGGTCCTCCGCCCATTGAGTCCCATCGATAATGTGCTTCATCCGAAATGAACCACCGAGATGTAATTCAGCTCCCCAACTCAGTTTTCTCCTGCAATTTCTAACACCTACGCCAAGAGGGAAAGTAACCCCGAACTAGGCCAGGGACCCCGAGGCCGCACACTGGCTCGGGCCTCCCGTGGCCACGTGCCCGATCCCCTCTCCCCCGCACTCACCATGGTGCCGGCGAGGGCGCCGGGGCGCCGCGCTGCTGCACAGCTTGCCTTGACGTCCGGGACCAGGCGGGCCGGCGCGGGAACGGAAAACTCTTAATAGCTGACAAACTGCTCCTTCTGTCGGAAGAATAAATGGAGAGGACCGGAAGTTAAGGACCGGAAGCGCATTAGAGAACGGGGGCGGGGCGAGAGACGCAGCGGCGCTTCTGTGGGCGGCTTTGCGCCGGCGTCTGTCCAGTGCGTCGTCTCGCGCTGCGTGGCCGGGACTACGCTTGCGCCGCGGGCATGAGTCTGTCAACGTTTGATTTTGTTCTCGTGGCAACAGCGGTCAGAGATTCGCCTGTCTTTGTCCTTCCTGATCCTTCTATGGCAGCAGATGACCGTTTTGAAAATGACTCCACTACCTCTCTGAACGCACTGAGTGTTCACAGCCACTCTGGGCCCTGCAGGGAGTACTGTCGCCTGCGTGGACCCGGGTCCCTGACACACCTTAAGGAGCCAGTGCTGGCTTGGGAGCCAGGGGAGCAAACCTGCCTTTCCGGGAGGCTTTTTTCACCGCTGCCTGTCATTTACTTGGAGCTGAACAGTGCCTGAGACCATGGTGCTCCTCCTGCCTCCTCCTTTTAGGAAACATGTATATCATTATACTTTACTAAAGGTGACTGTTCCCAAGAAACTGACAGGATGAATATGATCGTGAAAGAAACATGTGAACCAATGAATCAGAGCTTTCTCCACACATTCCCAGAAGACAGAGACCACCCTTTTAAAATACAAACTTATGGCTAGGCTTGCAGGCCCACGCCTTTAATTCCAGCATTTAAGTGGCAATAAAGGCCAGTTTTTATGTGTTGGAGGACAGCCTGGCCTATAGAGGGAGTTCCAGGCCAACCAGGGGTGCATAGTGAGACCCTTCCCCAAAAACTAAAGAAAAGAGCTGGGCACCTTTGATCCCAGCACTCAGAAGGCAGAGGCAGAAGTATCTTTGAGTTCAAGGCCCGTCCGCAAAGTGAGTTCCAGGACAGCCAGGGCTACACAGAGAAACTCTGGCTTAGGTGGGGGTGTGGGGGAGTAATGAGAAGAAAATCAAATACGGAGGTAAGGAGCAGGTGGGGGTTAGAGGCTACATGAGACACTTGCCACAGACATGGGCGTTAGAAATGGTGGCGGGCTCTCCTACTGAGTCAGCCTTAAGGACAGCACCCTTGTCACAGGCCAGGCAAGAATGTGACAGACCACCATGCATAGAAGGCCAAATTTAGAGACCTTTATTAGCAGGCAGCTGAGGGCAGGATCTTGTCCCAAAGCACTCCCTGCACCAAAGCTCAGGGATACAGGATCTATGAAGGTGAACACCTCAATGGCATCACAGTCAGGTGTAGTTCAGGGGACCTGGTAGCATTTGTTTCGGCTATCCATTCAGCAGTCATTTTGATTATGCATCGGGGCCATGGTCAGCCCACTCTCTTAGCTTTCCCTGCTCCTGTGCATTCTACCATTAGACTCAACCATTGCTAAGCACACAGAATCTCAGCAAAAGTGGTGCACTAGGAGGAGTTCAGGATCAAACAGGATCGGACATTAGTTAAAGTTTTTATGTAAGCGGGCAGATGGTCGCCGCACTAGAACCTCTCTTCCCACTTCTTGCAACTAGGTGTGGGGGTATGACCAAATGATGGCCAGTGGTGCTTTGGGCCAGGAGCCCCAAGGTTTTTTTTTGTTTTTTTTTTTCCTTAACCCTTAATTTATGCATTACCAAAGCACCATGACATTTTACATTCAGAGATTTGTGGAGTTTGGCCTTTCCAACTTTCCATAAGTTTGAAGGGGAGGTGGGGAACTGTGGAAATGGATGTAGTTGGCATTTTCCTTTGGGCTGTCAACCAGCTCCCAAATAAAGACACAGAGACTTATTTTGAATGTTCGGCCTTAGCTTAGGCTTGTTCCAGTTGCTTTTTAACTTAATTTTAACCTGTTTCTTAATCATTTTGCCTCGGGGCTTTTTACCTTTCTTTCATTCTGTATGCCCTACATTCCTGCTTCCTCTGTGTCTGTCTGTCTGCCCCCTGGCATCTCCCTTTCTTTCTCCCCTAAGCCTAAATTCCTCCTCCTACTTACTCTCTCTTCCCAGAAGTTCTGCCTATACTTCCTCCCTTGGCCATTCAGTTTTTTATTAGACCAATCAGATGCCTTAGGCAGGCAAGGTAAAACAGCAATTTATCTTCACATAGTTAAACAAATGCAGCACATCTTTACACAGTTAAACAAATGCAACACATCTTTACACAGTTAAACAAATGCAGCACATATTTACATAGTTAAACAAATATTCCACAAATAGAGTCAGAGAGGTGTGCATCACTTCAATTCCCATGGAATGAATGAATACTAGGTTAAATTGCTAAAACCACATATTTAAAAAAGAAAATCTTGACCTTTTCCCATTTCTGAGAGGTGAACTTAGGAACATCCAACTTGGACTGAGAAATGAGCAGTCCAAAGTCCACTGCCTGGCCTAGAGCCTAATTCTTTGTAAAATTAGAAATGTCCTGAAGCCATTGCATTTGAAATGTTTTAGCCATTATGTTAAATATTTTATTCCAAACACGAATGGTCAGCCTTCACACACAGACTTGAGAGAAACAGAGGGACGGGGTAGTGCCTCCTTCTGATGTTCTGCTGGCCTGGACCTCCATATGCAGATCAGGTTAGCCTCAAATTCACAGAGTTTCACCTGACTCTCCAGCTGTGGGTTTAAAGACATTATGTCCCCACATCTGGCTTCAAAAAAGACTTGTTTTTGTTTGCATCCAAGCTCTCAAGTAGCCCAGGTTGGCCTGAAACTTGCTATTATGACTGAACTTTGATCTTCCTGCCTCTGATTCCCGGGACTACAGGTAAGCAAACACTACACCCAGATTGGTTTGGAATTTTTTTTTTCTTTTTGGACAAGCTCTTGCTATTATCCTAGACTGACCTCAAACTCTATGCTAATACTGCCTCAGTCTCCCAAGTGCTGGAACTGCAGATGTGCAGCACCACACCCAATTCACAGTTCAAACAAGTGTAGCTGCTTGCCACCAAGCCTGATGACCTGAGTTTGTATGCTGAAACTCAAGATGGAAGGAGAGAATTGCCTCCTACAAACTGTCCTCTGACTTCCACATTCACACCCATACACATAGAATAAATGAAGTAAAAAAAGAGTAAAAATTCTAAGAATCCTGATTTGGGAACTCAATCTCTTCTTGTCACTTCAATCAATCCAAGCCTTGTTTTGTCATCTATGCCAGAAGCAGGGTACATTGAATTGATTGGCAGAACACTTCCAAGTTAAAAACATTCCCCAACCCCGTCTGATCCATAAGCCAGAGAATGCTTTTGCCAATGATTTGTCTCTTGCACCCTCCTATGAACCTCAAATACTATTCTTTCCTCTATCCAGAATTTATTGGGAGTATGGTAGACAACAAAAGCATCAAAACACAGCCCTCAAAGATGCCCACACCTGTATCCCTTGGATCTGAAAACTGTTACCTTACAAACCAAAAGGGATTTTGTAGGTGTAACTAAGGACCTCAAAATGGGAGTCATTCCATGTTCTCCAGTGGCCTCCATGGAATCAGAAGGGTCTTTATAACAGGGAAGCCAAGGTTCAGTTTAGAATTGTTATCTTGTGAGTCAAGGGGGGGGGGTGATGATATGGCCAGAGCCAAGGATGTGGACAGCTGCTAGAAGTCGGAAAAGGCAAGGAAATTTTCTTCTTGGGGCTACAAGTGAAGCTCAGTGATGAAGTGCTTACCTGGCATGCACAAGGCCCTGGGTTCAATCCCTAGCACCACACATTTTTTTTCTTCTCTAGAGCTTTTAAAAGGAAAGCTGTCCTGTCTACACTCATTCATGAGACCCATTTCACACCTCTCCAGCACTATATGTAGGCTTATGAGGTTTTTGTTGCATTTTGTTTTGAGACACATCTGGAGTAGTCCAGGCTGGCCTGAAATATTCGTAGCCAAGGATGACCTTGAACTCTCTTGGTGCTACAGACATGCACCAACTTGCCATCAACACATTACTGCTTATTTCAGTACTATTCCAGTCATTTCTGTCACTGTTGACCTGATTTTAAAATTTAGTTAAGAAGCTGGAGAGATGTCTCAGCAGTGACTGAGAACAATGGTTGCTCTTCCACAGTAAGGCTTGGATCCACCTGTCATCACAGGTCAAACGAGAAAGTTCCAAATAGAAGGTTTTTCTTTAAGTTCTTGAATTTTCAACTTCTTTCCCTAGTCTCTATTTGTCTTAGCAGACTTTCACATGGCTGACAGACACTATCAGGAAAGCACCTGCAAACTGTAAGCTGCTGAGCTTGACTTGCTGAAAGCTGATGTAGACCAGTCCAGCTGATGTGATTGCTTCCTGTCCTTTCACCTGGATCAACTAATCAGATGCTTCTGATAATTGTCCCATTGCCCAGCCTTTGACTAGCCTTTCACCTTTCCTGGGCCCTGACAACCAGTGCCCCAGCTGGAAGTAGTGAAAGAAGAGAGTACATTGTCTCTGCTCCCCTTAACAGGCTGAAAACACTACGTAAAAAGGAAACTCCCTGACATAGGTGACAAAATGGCTATCTATAATGCTAATTGATATATCATTTATCAACAAATAATTCATTAACAAATAGGTCTACAATACAATAGGATACTTGGCATCCTTTATGCAGAACAAAGATATCCATCACAGGGCCTTTGGCCCTTCTTCCACTGCTAATTACTGTTGGCTCTTTCTTACACTATTGATATAACTAAATGATAAGTCCTGCTTGTGTACCATTAAGCTAATGGTTATTAGATCCAAATGTAAACTGGTACCCATCATAGAGTCAAGGATTTGACCCAGGATACAACTTCAGGTAGAAATGTTATACCCTAAATTAACCTGTAAGCCCTACCTGCCCAAGGACCAGGTAACTTCCTAGAATGCTGGGAGTTGTAGTTCTTGAAAACAAAAAAAGCCTCATGGAAAAGGTGGCCTCTGGATTTGGGGCATATAAACCCCAACAACATGAGCCTCAGGGCCACTCACTCAGCTGAAAAGTTTCTATGGAGTGGTCCTGACCAAA